AGAGGATGAAGCAGTAGACATCCTCAGCTCACCCCACGAAGTAAATCATCACACCACTGCCATGAAGAAGTTATATCGAGACAACAAGCCGAAAGTCGCTCTAAGCTTGACCAACGAGAGGATTAAGGCGGCATATATCATCAATTCACCTTACAAAGCATATCTTCGCACAACTACCACCACAAAGATAAGTTTCAAGAGAGCAAGCTGAAAGTCTCTCCAATCTAAGCAAAACCTGAGGATCAAGTTGAAAAAAATGCCAGTTCCTAGTAATTGAGCAATTTAAAGGAACCCCGAGCAAAAACAAGACGATAAACAAAAAATAAAGCAACATAGTTTTCATAGCATTGTCAAATGCATCATATCCTCTTTTCACTCAACGTTCATGACTACATTAGCATGACGCATCATACAATCACTCTCAAAATTATTCCGAGATCCATTACACAACATCATCATACATCAAAGTGACTAGCTATGCATCACTATCATTTCCTAAAATTCCTAAAATGTCTTTCTAAATGTACATGAAATTTTTTCATGCGAAATACCACTATGCATTTACTACACGTTAGCTTGAACTTTTTTGCTAATATTTCCTCATTGCTTGACTTGATTCCTATCAAGAGTAATTTGAGTACATCGTTACAAAATCGTTAGTTTGATCTTTATCACTAATATCTTCTCATTGCTTGATTTGAATCCTATCACAAGCAATTTGAGTACAAAATCCTTTACAAAAATCGTTAGCATGATTTTTATCGCTGACATTTTCTCATTGTTTGTTTGATTTCCATCACAAACGGTTTGAGTACATCATCATTTACAAAATGTTTAGCTTGATCTTATCGATGTCATTTTCCTCATTGTACTATTTGATTTCTATCATAGACAATTTGAGTAAATCGTCCTTACAATACTGTTAGCCTGATCTTTATCGCTAGCACCTTCTCATTGTTTGATTTGATTTTTATCACAAACAATTTGAATACATCATCATTTAAAAAATCATTAGTTTGATCTATCACTAACACCTTCCTCATTGTTTGAATTGATTTCTATCACAAAAAATTTGAGTACAATATCCTTTACAAAATCGTTGGTTTGATCTTTATCGCTTAAATCATCCTCATTGTTTGAATTGATTTCTATCACAAGCAATTTGAGTACAAATCGTTAGCTTGATCTTGATCGCTGACGTCTTCCTCATTGTTTGAATTGATTTCTATCGCAAACAATTTGAGTACAATATCCTTTACAAAATCGTTAGCTCGACCTCTACTGTTGGAATCTTCTCATTGTTTGATTTGATTTCTATCACAAACAATTTGCGTAATATATATTCTTTGCAAAATGATTAGCTTGATCTTCTCGGTGTCATTTTTCACATTGATCAATTTGATTTCAATCTTAGACAACTTGAGCATATCATGGTTAACCAAATGATTAGCTTGATCCTATAGCTATCACCTTTCTCATTGACCAACTCCATTTCTTCAACAGACAACTCGAGTACATCGTTGTTGCAAAATGCTTAACTTGATTTTATCGCTAACACTTTTGCCAATGTTCAGTTCGATTTCTACCGCATACAACTTGAGTACATCGTTGTTGCAAAATGGTTAGCTTGATTTTATCACTAGCGCTCTTGCCAATGTTCAGTTCGATTTCTGTCACAGAAAAATTGATTACATCATGGTTACAAAATGGTTAGCTTGATTTCATCGCTAGCACGATTCAAAATGATCAGTTTAATTTCTATCACGAACAACTTGAGTATATCGTTGTTACCAAATGGTAGTTTGATTTTATCCCTGCCATTTTCTTATACAGTTTGGCCACCATCATCTTAACAATTTGGATACGTCGTTATTACCAAAGATAAGTTCAATTTCTACTTCTGAGATATTCACTTTTCAAAATGTGGTGTCTTTATAGAAACTTGGTATAACTCTTTATACAAAGAGATATACAAAGGGGGGCAACTGTAGACACCACATTTTGTCCGGGATAATCGTTCTCCTAACAAAAATATTGATTGTAACATTGCGCTACAATTATATTTGAAAAGAAAATGTAGTCGATATTGGTTGAGACTACCAGTAGCGATTCAATATAAATGAATAATTATCAATTTCAAGTCATTAGGAATTTAGTACACTCATGGTTTTTTTTAAGTCAACTAAGACTAGGTACCTGAAAAAAATAATAATAAGAAGAGACCAATTAGAAAAAAACCAGATTCGAAGCCCGATTCGAATACAACTCCAGGTCCAGATGCAAGACCAAAAATAGGTTGCCTTAAGCCCAGGTCTGCTGAAAGCCACAGATTGGTTTGGTCCAAACTACTCGGCCCAAGATCAAGGCCCAAACTACTCGGCCTAAAATCAAGGCTCCAACCTATCCACAACCGACTGCATAGGGAGGCAAAATTATTGAAGAAGAAACCTCAAGGACCACGAATTACACAACGACACGTGGCGGCTGGTTTTGCTATAAGAAGAGCTTCTCAGCTCTTGTACTGGGGGGACGAATTCAAGGAGAAAAACACTCTACAAAAATAGAAATATTCGATATAGATTACAATGAATGGAAACAAAATAATGAAAAATAAAATATACTTTGCCATTAGATTTTCTTACATTGTACATTGCTTCAAAAATTACATCTATAATAATGAAAGGAGGATCGTAATTGCATACAATTACAAGAGAGAACTACAAATAAAGTAGAGCATTGAAACATAAATCAGGTCCACTGGCCCAGTTTTTTCTGAAGTCAACCAAGCCTAGGTACATGCAAAAAAAATAATAATAATAAGAGACCAATTAGTAAAGAACCAGATTCGAAGCCCAATTCGAATACAACTCCAGGTCCAGATGCAAGACCCAAAATAGGTTGCCTTAAGCCCAAGTCTGCTGAAAGCCACAGATTGGTTTGGTCCAAACTACTCGCCCCAAGATCAAGGCCCCAACTACTCGGCCTAAAATCAAGGCCCCAACCCTATCCACAACCGACTGCATAGGGAGGTAGGATTCTTGAAGAAGCAACCTCAAGGGCCACGAATTACACAACGACACGTGGCGGCCGGTTTTGCTATAAGAAGAGCTTCTCAGCTCTTGTACTGGGGGTGAGGGTGGGGGGGGGGGGGGGGGGGGGGGGTGGAATTCAAGGAGAAAAACACTCTACAAAAATAGAAATATTGATGTAACACCCGAACCTTTTCCCGACAAGATATTGTCCGCTTTGGGCCTCTACACCCGCACGGATTTGACTTGGGGTGCATATCAAGGTGACTTCCCATAAGGTCACCCATCCTTGCAGTGCTCCACCCTGAGCACGTTTAACTTCGGAGTTCTCACAAAAACTCATCCATTTCACCCCAAAACGCATCTTGTTAGTTAAGGTCGGTTTCTTACTTATGAACCATGGATCTCTCACGTGCTTTGTCGATGTGGGATTTGCCTAAGGTATTACAATTGACATCCCAAAGAGATTGTTTTTATTTTATTTTTTGTTCTTGCTCTTAGCCGAAAGTTCAGTGGGGATACTGTGAGATTGAAGGAGCAGATTCATTTTTATCAAATTTATACAATCATTATGATGTTATAATCATCTATCTATTTGCATATTTATACTCAAGCATTTTCCTTTACAAGCTATTTGATAGTCAAACATTCTATTTACCAAGATCTGCTCATATAAGTTTCATTAATCTCTCCCATTGAATTTTCTTCTGCTTATTATTAGCTACGCCAATCTATAAACTGATTTAGATAACTATCCATGAAGTTGGATATTTTGTTGTAAATCTCAGTAATTTTTAGATTCCATATTTTTAGGATTAGTAGGTAGCTTTCATAGCCACACATACATACAAGCAAATTAAAATTAGCTAAATAACATATTTTGGTACAAACAAAAGCCATGCGTTAGAAGTCCATGGATCACCCTGGATCCAGATCCAACGAAGATCATCCACACAAAACATAATTCAGATTTCTAAAATCTAGAATCTAGCAGAATCGCAAGCAGTGGCGGCGATTTATAGAGGTTAAAAGTAGTCATATCTATTTTCATTACACGAAGATCCATTTTTACTACTTAGTTTAGGTAGAAGACAATCCAAAACCGAGGATATCCAAAACCGTCTTTCATCAAAGGCACATATGCAAAAAGCCTCATTTTCTATCAAATTTTGTTTGGATAAAAACTATCAGATTCAAAACTCAATAACAAGCAAATCCCCTTTTCATATTTTTATCCTCTAACCATACTAAGTGGAGTACAAAAAAATACCATTTCAGAATCACACGAATTCATACATAACTAGTTTTTTATCGAAAACACATATCTGTTAGCTATCCTAAAAATCGTATAATCTTTTTTAGTTCAAATTCCCTAATCACACTAACTGAGTTTAGGAGATCCTTACCTAAACCTGCCCATTTCTCTCATCCTGTCGAAACAAAAAAGTAGAAGGTCAGTACCGACTCAAATCTAAATAAACAGAAATAAAAAGAAAAGGGCTAATACCACTACAACACCTGAACTATCCGAAAAATTCCATTTGTATCCTGTATTATATAAATATGTGACATTTGTATCATGATGTCAAACGTTGACTGTTAGAGATAATTGTTGACCAAACAGAGGTCAAACCAATATTGACTTTTGCTGATGTGGCATCCATGTAGATGCCACATCATTGACATGTCATTATTTAACCAAAATTAAATTATAAAATGGAAAATACAAAATTATTAGAAAATCAAAATACAAAATTATTAAATTAAAAATAAAATAAAACAAACTAGAATGACCGACCGCTTCATCTGCTTCTTCCTCTCCTTCGGTGGAAGCACGATAGCTTCATCTTCCCCTTTCTCCGGTGGGTGAACTGACAATCGTTCCCCAAAAGTAGTTCTTCCTCCGCCGTTCGCCATCGATTGCGTTCTCTTCTCAGTTCACCATTTCAACATCCAATCCGATTAATCCCTATGCTTCCACTTCTCCCCGCACGTCGCCGTCGACGGCGGCAACTCATCATCCTCCACCTGCAACTCCTCGACAAAATTGGTGTTTTCATATTGCCATTCGAATTCGTTGTCTGCCGGTTCAATTGCAGGCATCACAATCTGTTGTGTTCCTATTTTGGGGGGTTTGGTTCTAGGGATTTGACTTCTCTGAGATCTGTAATCGAGATCCACCATTCCATGTATGAACTCTGCTCCAGCGGCGACGACCAGGATTCCTTCGATCTCGCCAATTCACCAGATACGCACACCATCTTCAGCTCATCATCAACCACCTCCTCCGATCCTCTCTGTCGCTTTCTGCTCCCGCGGAGACCGGATGGAGAGGCATCTCCGAAGATCTCTCTAATGCTGCAGAAGCTATTTTAGCCTATAGGAAGAGGAACAAGATCAGTGTTCTGGTCCAGTTCCTGTGCTCGTCTGTTTTGGAGCCGAGGGTCGACGGTTGCTCATCTCTTCCAGACAACGGTTCAATCTTGGAGGGGAAGAGAAGCGAATGAAGATATAGAGTTTTTTTTATTTTAGTTTTTTATAAATATTATTTTAAATAAAACTAAATAAAAAATGAATTTTAAATGCCACATCAATGCTGATTATACTTTCTGTGAAATACTAACGGTCAACATTGGTCAACACTAACGAAAAAATAGTTCAGGATACAAATGGAATATTGAATACAATAGGACACAAGTGACATTTTTCGCATAGTTCGGGTGTTATAGTGGTATTAGCCCAAAAGAAAAAGCCAAACTCACCGGTCCTCTCACCCTGTTGCCGGTGGTTCTCGCTGATAGTGAGACCACTTTCTCCTCTGGCATCCACATTTCATATCCTCCCTCGATAGAACACCAAAAGCAACCCAAAAAAAATCAAACGAGGCCAGAAACTTGGCCACTCCAAAAACCAAGAATAAAAAATAAGTTCTTCATGTCTAAAAATCTTACTAGAGGGTAATCCCCTCGTCATCGCCTCCGTTCCAAATAGAAATGGTAGATCGAGAGCAGTAGAGGGTGAATCGAGAAACCCACCTTGGTTTCGTAACAGGAAATGAATCCCTAAAAATCAATGGCAACGGTCAAATGGGTTCAAAGCTTCAAGACACAATCTGATCCGACAGCGTTTTAGGTGGTTAATGATGAAGCCCAAAGCGACCACGTTTTGCTTACCTTCTTCCTCTGTATTTCTTTTGTTTGAAGTTTAAGTTTGTTTCCTCACCAAGCTAATGGACAAACTGTACTAGCTGGGGTGTCTTTTTCTGTAATCCGATCGCCTATAAAGAGGCTGAACAAGTGAATGAGAAGGCTCAAGCTTTAGGGTTTCACCCACATTACAAATTTTTTTTCATGGTATCAGAGCCCTAGTCGCCGCCATGGCTGCAAACGAAACCCACTTTGATGCTTCTGCATCTGGTGAAGCCTTAAACACACAATACCCTATGGAAGATCCATACTTCCTTCACGGTTCTGAGCAACCTGGTTCCCTCTTGGTCAGTGAGAAGCTCACAGCAACAAACTATAATGACTGGAGTCGCGCCATGTTCAACGCCCTTGCTGCCAAGAACAAGCTGGGCTTCCTCAATGGCGCCATTCCTGAGCCTGCAGAAACAGATCCGAAGAGAAATGCCTGGGTCAGAAACAACATCATGATCCTGAGCTGGATCCAACAAGCTGTCGAATCAGAAATACGCAAGACCATTCTTTCAAGCAAATCAGCAGCTGAGGCTTGGAAGAGTTTGCAAACAAGGTATGGTTCTGGTGACATTGTTAGAGTGGCTGAAATAGAAGAACTCTGTAGCTTAAAGCAAGGTACACAGACCATTACTGAATACTATGGCAAGGTTATTACTCTTCATGATGAGCTAGACAATTATCAGGCTTTGATTCCTTGTGCTTGTACCACTACAAGTCACAATACCTGTCAAGCTATGAAGCTGGTTCATGAATATCAAGAAACCAGCTATGTCATTAAGTTTCTACGAGGCTTGAATGAGAATTTTTCTGCTATTCGATCACAAGTTTTGTTTGGGGATGAGCTACCAAACATTAATAGGGTTTTTCAACATATGCTCCAGCATGAGAGGCAGTTATATGGTACTCAAAGAGGCAAGCTCATTGCTTCTCTCACCACTGATACCTCTGCCCTCGCCATTCAAGGTGTAAACAGAAGACCTAATTCAACTCAAAAGAGGCTTTACTGTGTTTACTGCAAGAGAGAAGGTCATACAGAGGAGGTTTGTTTTGTCAAACATGGCTATCCACCGGGAATGTCTACTCGACCCTCTCCTCTGAATACATCAGCCAATGTGATTGAATGCACCTTTTGTGGTAAACATGGATACCCTGAGGACAAATGTTTTAAGAAACATGGTTTCCCTGCAAACTATGTTCCCAGGACTACTACTTACTCCTATGGTAGAGGCCGAGGATTTTCTCATTCTGCAGTCACCTCTATTGATGATTCTGTTAAACTTTCAAAGGCAGACTATGACAAGCTGATGGCTCTGGTTGGGAACTCTAGGCAGCCCTCTACTCATACTGCTGCTGCTTTCACCACTACTACTACTCCTTCAGGTACATGTTTCTTATCAGCACCAAACCACATCAATCCCAACCACAGTTTCACATGGATTCTAGACACTGGTGCCTCTGATCATATTGTTTCTTGCCTAGATTATCTACTGCATCCTATACCTATACCTGGGTTGTTCATAACTTTGCCTACTGGTCAACAAATTCCTGCCACTTACAAAGGCACAGTTCATTGCACTCCTGAGTTAACACTTAAGGATGCTCTCTTTGTTCCTGGTTTCAGCTTTAATTTAGTATCAGTCAGCAAACTCACTGATCAGAATTCTCTAAGTTTGACATTTCACTCCAACCTTTGTGTCATACAGGACCTGGAGCAGAAGAGAGTGACTGGTTCTGCTAGATTGACCAATGGCCTTTACTACCTAGAATCCCCTAGTAATCCTAAGATCATCTCAGTTGCAAGATCAAACATTTTTTATTTATGGCATTTTAGATTAGGACACCTGTCTCATTCTAAAATTCCTTATCTCAATCAGTTTTGTATCTCTATTGAAACTCAAAAGGGATTACCCTGTGATGTTTGTCACTTTGCAAAGCAAAGGAGACTTCATTTTCCATTGAGTCAGAATGTAACCCTACATCCTTTTGAGCTCTTACATGTTGATATATGGGGACCTAATCCAGTTCCTTCATATGATTCTTACAAGTACTTTCTTACAATTGTTGATGATTTTTCACGAATGACTTGGGTTATTCTTCTTCAACTTAAGTCAGAAGCTAGACCAAAGTTGATTGCCTTTTGTAACCAAATGCAAAGACAATTCCAAACAACAATTAAAAGAATTCGCAGTGACCAAGGAAAAGAGTTTGAGATGACTGAGTACTATGATTCACAGGGCATTATTCATGAAATGTCCTGTGTTGAGACTCCTCAACAAAACAGTAGGGTGGAGAGAAAATACCAGCATATTCTTGTTGTGGCAAGAGACCTCAAATTTCAGGCTGACCTGCCACCTGGTTTCTGGAGTGACTGCATCAAACATGCAGTATTTCTCATCAACCGAGTCCCTTCTTCTGTTCTTAACATCAAAACACCCTATGAAAAGCTTCACAACACTTCCCCTTATCTCACTGATTTAAAGGTTTTTGGTTGCTTATGTTATGCCTCTACACTAGCTAATCACAGAACCAAATTCCAAAAAAGAGCAAGAAAGGGTGTGTCTTTGGGTTACAAGCCTGGTATAAAGGGTTACAAGATTTATGATCTTGATTCTCATGATGCTTTTGTTTGAAGGGATGTCATTTTTTAGGAATCCCATTTCCCCTTTCATTCTTCCAATTCTCAACCACATACCAACCCTGATTCTGACCTACTTTTTCAATTACCTGAACCTACCAGTTCTTTCCTTCATGATCCCTCTCCTCATCTCCCATTTCCCAAACTACTCCATTACCTTCCTCACCTGTCCCTAGTTCATCATCTTCCCCACACAATTCTTCTCCTAGTTCCCCTTCTACCTCTCCCTCAACTCCCCCCACTACCCCTTCTTCTTCAGATATCCCTCCATCACCCCCAGTCCCTCCTAACATTCCACCCAGAAAATCAGCTAGACCCACCAAACCCCCTGCCCACTTAACCAAAGACTACCATTGTTATCTTGCCTCTCAGTCTAGTGGTTCAAGTCACTCACTTCATCAACAGGTCCAAGACTCAAGGTGTGGTCTCTCCTCCATGATCTCTTATGGCAATCTCTCGCCCTTTTACAAGAAATTTGTCTTGAATATTTCTTCCTATGTTGAGCCAAATACATACACAGAGGCATCTAAGTCAGATGAGTGGAATGCATCAATGCAAAATGAAATTAGAGCTCTCCAACAAAACCAGACTTGGGATGTTGTTGAACTGCCACCAGGCAAAAAGGCGATTGGTAATAAATGGGTATATAGAATCAAGATTCATCAGGATGGATCTATTATAAGATTTAAATCAAGGGCTGTTGCTAAGGGCCATACACAGCAGGAAGGAGTTGATTATCAGGATACATTTGCCCCACTTGTTAAAATGACCACTATCAGAACCTTTCTAGCTATTGCTGCTTTAAGGAATTGGCATATTCAACAATTGGATGTGAATAATGCCTTCCTTCATGGTGATTTACAAGAGGAGGTATATATGACTCTTCCTAAGGGTTATTAACCACCTCCTGGTTTCAAAAATCCAGTCTGTCGACTCAAGAAATCAATTTATGGCCTTAAGCAAGCTTCAAGGCAATGGTTTTCTAAATTGACTGATAAACTTCAGCATATTGGTTATTCTCAGAGCAAAGCAGACCATTCTTTGTTTTACAAGGTAACTGATTCTAGCTATACCTGCATCTTAATCTACGTTGATGATCTACTTGTGGGAGGCAATGATTTACTTGCCATTCAGCAACTCAAAGACTTTCTAAGGTTCTTTCTTGGTATGGAAGTGGCAAGAAACAATACAGGAATTCATCTTTCTCAGAGAAAGTATGCACTAGAAATTATACAAGAAGCTAATCTATTGGACTCCAGGCCAGTGACTACCCCTATGGATTACAAAATTCACCTTACCAGCAACTGTGAGTTGCCTTTTGAAGATCCTGAACTGTACCGCACTTTAGTGGGCAAACTCATCTCTCTAACCACTACTCGCCCTGATATCAGTTTTGCAACACAACAAGTCAGTCAGTTCATGGGCAATCCAAGTGTTTAACATTTCAAGGCAGTTCAACGCATCCTACGTTATCTCAAATGTGCACCAGCTACATGCATTTTCTTCCCATCTAAAGGTCAATTTCAACTGAAGGTTTTTTCAGA